ACTAATCAGGGGCATCCCAGTAATTTCTTGTACCTTGTACTATATTCATCTATAAATAAAGGACTGGTCGACTGGCTAGTACAGTTCGACATTCTCTTCTGTTCTGTGGTTCTCTTCTCTTCTTTGCTACTTCGAGTATAGCTCTTCAGATTACATTAACCATTTTTCCACTTATGAGGCAATAGATCAGTGTTGGTCCAAGATTCTTCTCAACATTTTCTGTAAGAAAATCAGGTTGATCAACAGTGGTTTAACAGTCCATGATCAACAGTTTGGCAGGTATATGTGTCATTAAAATCCAATTCAATGGTTCACGGTCAGAGGGTTCTCTTAACAACCCATGAAACACTATATGTTATCGATCATCAGTTCCAAGACATTCAACATAATAAATCTTGGCCCTATGAATCTATGATCAAGAAAGAAATAAAAAAGGAGCGGAAGAGGTGAAAAGATCAGGGAAGTTCAGTCATTTCAACAGCAGTTCAATCGCCTTGAGGAAAGCTTTTGGATTGAAGAGAAAAGATTTAATTTGGTCTGTCTGATGGTGCTCTGATAGGGCATAGAAAGTTAAGAGATAAAGAGAAGACAGAAAGAGGAGAAAGGATTGTGTGAAAGTAAATGAACAGTGTTTTAAAAGATAATGAAGTTACATATCTGCACTTGTGCCTAGAAATACAAATATTACCACAGGGACCAACTAAGAATAATGCCATGGTATCACTTAAATAATTCTCTTTATAATTTATGAACAGGCTTGCACTGTTAACCTACAAAAGTATATGTTTGTGCCATATAAAATAAATTGGACTTGACGTGTTAATACATAAAATAATGTATCTGTGTGAGTAAAATTCACATGGAAGAGCTCTATTCTTGATTTTATGATACTAATGTAAAAAATATGGGATGAGCCTCAAGCAACTAAAGTTGTTCATCTATGTCAGATGCAAAAGTGTGCATCAAAACTATCCCATACGGCCTTTGGCAGTATTTATACATCGTACGGGAGTAAGGCACTTAGATAGGCAATCAAGAACGATCTTTTCTTGGGTTCAACATTCAGCAAAAAGTATATCTATAGAAGCCAAACAATGAGGAGACAAGGAACTGGGAACAGTTATATTGGGGATCATTCCCCCAGAAATGTATGATAAACATAAAAGAACATAAAAAAAGAATAGACTAAGCAGAAGAGGCTGGCATAAATTTCATGGGATGCTAGGCACATAATTGTTGTACAATGTTTTTTAATCAGAAACTGTAATAACTTTTATTATTTCAATAAAACTTATACAATAACTTTGACAGATTTTTGCTCCTACAGAGCCACTCCCCCAACCACATCATGCCAACAAAGAAGCCCAAAAGACTTGTTTCCAAGACCCCCATAGGCCCTGCCTGCATCTGTGTTTATGCATTCATATATGTACATTATCTAATTTAGTTGTTTGGCTTTCTTTGAAAGGCTCCAATGGGTTTTCGCATTTGGCGCTATCTCAAACAAGAAGCTTCTAAAGGGCGGGTAATTTTACTAATGTGAATGAAGAGTTCTATTTTGATCTAATGAAATGATTTGTTATAAATATATGTATCTCTAAGTTTACATCCAATTAATCTTTAATTTTTAAGCATATCTTGCTTTTCTTCAGGCAATAATTATGGATCCTTTCAAAAAACGCTTTGTTACATCCTGTCATGGTGTTCCACTTGGTGGTATTGGGTATACTTTTGTTATTAACTTTTATTACAAATTTTGTTAGTTTTATTTGATTTTGATAGACTATTTTTGTTAAGTAAACGGTGGAATTTGCTTTTGGGTAACTGAAATAATGTGGAAATTTATTTTTGACTATGATGATGCTCTTTTCAGATAATAAAAAAGGGCAGCACAGTGCATGAGGCTCCTGCCAATGCAGGTCCAGGGAGGGACAGATGTACACAGCCTTACCCCCTGCACATACAATGAGGCTGTTTCCAAGATTTGAACTATTTTGGGACATAAGCACATGGGCTTGGGCCTGTTACTTTTATATTATGCTCTTGTGTTTATTTGGGGGGTAATAGGCGTGGGCTTGTATTGTTCTGTTTGTCTTTTGTACTTTTGTACCTTGCTGTCACCTAAGCAGGGGCAAAGTTGTCCATGCATGTAATACCGTAAAGCTCTCATTTAAATATCAATAAGGGGCTGGAAGAGAAGATCTTCTGTCCAATCTTCCTTTCAAAATCTTCTCTTCTCTTCTCTTCTCCAAACTAGGGATTGAATCTTCCTGGTATTAGAATACTAATCCTACCCTGGTCTGCATTGTTCTTTCTCCTTTATTTTCTTGTCTCTCAGTTTGCTTTTTCTTTCTCCTGGAACCCTAGTTTTGGTCGCAAATCTCTAGGGTTTTTCCTTGGGGTTTCAAACTAAGGATACCCTAAGCTGTTTAGCTATGAGCTAGTGGAGCTCATGATGCAGGGAATAGTCAACTACAACTACTAGAGAGACCTGTTCTCTCAGGTGTAGAAGTTGGACGATCAAGTAGCAGTCCAAGAAGTTTTGTGGGCTATTGAAAGCAGGAAGGGTGCGGTTCAAGGATCTTAAATCATGTCTGAAATAGTTTTCTGGGACTGTTAACATTGGAGTCACTGTCTTTGGACTGTTACACCCTTGCTTTGGACTGTTAGCTTGTGCAGAGTTGCAGTAAGTTCAGTATATCCTCAAGCACCAGTCTGCCACCAGTGAAATGACCTCTAAAGAGAACAGGTCAAGTGAGAGTGTAGGCAGGGGTAGGTAAGCCAATAGAGGGGTCTACCTAAAGGATGGTAGATGGCTCTGGAGGTGGAGGAAGGGGAAGATTAGTTGCAGGCTTAAGGGAAACTAGGGTTTCAGTCCGAAAGGGCTACATGGGAGTTCTGGAAGATTGAGGTGAGGAGAGTAGAAAGCTACAAACAATAATATGATTTGATAACAGTGATAGAAAGAAATGAAAAAGAGGTTCTTGAAGAGAAGAGAAGAGGAGAAAGAGAAGAAGAGATGGGGAGAAGCCAATAATGATCTGGTCGTCCCACTCATTGTCTTATATACTCATGACATAAAACCGATTACAATGACTAACATGCCCTTAATAGGGTGGAGCTCCTAACATAAAAACAGTCTCAAAAATAAATATAAATTAATGGGCCTTGGGCCCAATAACACAAATGATTCTAAAACCTAAATAAGAAAACACATAAAAAACTCTTCCTCAAGTTGGGAGTAGATGTCATACATTCCCAACTTGCGTAGATCATGTTCAAACTTATTTCTTGCAACTCCCTTGGTGAGAACATTAACTAGTTGTAAGTCAGATGAAACATATGGTAGGCACACTTTCCCAGATGTCACCCTTTTTCTTATGAAATGTTTGTCCACTTCTATATGCTTTGTTCTATCATACTAAAATGGGTTATGGTCAATGTTAATTGCTGCTTGATTATCGTAGTACAACTTTATAGGTTCCTCCGCATCAATTTCAATCCTTCCTAGTAAGGACCGAACCTAGAGAAGCTCTGAAACACCATGTGCTATAGCTCTATATTCAACTTCTACACTTGACCCAGCTACAACTAATTGCTTTTTACTATTTCATGAAATCACATTACCCTCAACAAGAGTGCAAACTCCTAATGTAGATCTCTTGTCATCTAGGCATTTTTCCCAATCAACATTTGTTTAAGCTTCTAGCTTCAAGTTTTCATGGTCAACAAACAATATTCTTCTGCGTAGGTGTCCTTTCAAATAGGAAAGTATCCTCTCAATGGTTCTCAGTGCTGAACTCTTAGGGCATGCGTGTATTGACTCACCACACTAACTGCATAGGAGATATTTGGTCGTGTCATGCACAAGTATAACAGCTAGGCCACCAATTGATACCTCCCAATATCCCTTCTTAACTCACCATCTGAAGCATTAAATTGTGATTTTGGTCAATGGGTGTATTAGCTGGTTTAACCCCAAGTTTTCCCATCTCCTGTAGTAGGTCCAACACATATTTCCTATGGGAAATAAAGATCCTATGTTTAGACCTTGCCACTTCAATGCCCATAAAATACTTTAGCTCCCCAAGGTCCTTAATCTTAAACTCCTTGTGTAGGTTCCTCTTTAAGGCATCAATCTAACTTAGACCATTCCTTGTGACTACAATGTAATCCACATAAACTATTAGCGTTGACACTAAAGATCCTCTTCTTCACAAACAAGGTATGGTTTGATTGTGTTTGAGTGTATCCAAAACCAATCAATGCACTCCTAAACTGCTTAAACCAAGCTCTAGGTGATTGTTTCAATCTATATAAAGATTTCTTTGATTTGCATACCTTCCCTTTACCTACATCACCATAAAACCACTTAAAGGTCCATGTAGACCTCCTCCTGGAAATCTCCATTGGAAAAAATTATTCACATCAAGTTGGAAGAGAGGCAAAGAGTAGGTAGCTACTAGAGATGAGGATTCAAACTGAACTCATTTTGGCTACTAGTGCAAAAGTCTCCAAGTAGTCTATCCCATAAGTCTAACTATACCCTTTTGTAACTAACATTGCCTTGTACCTTACTATGCTTCCATCAGCCCTGTACTTTATAGTATAGACCCATCTACAACCTTCTCTTTGCTATTAGGTAGACCCACAACTTTCCATGTCTGATTTTTAATCAAGGTTTCCATTTCCTCCTGCATAGCTGTCCTCTACTCAGGTTTGGAGAGAGCCTTACAAACATTCTTGGGTATAGACATAGAATCAAGAGAGGAAAGAAAGGCTTGGTAGGAGGGAGATAATTTACTTTAGGAATGATGATGTGAGATACAATGAGCTCTTCCGCTTCCGGTGTACAATAGAAAGATCTGGGCTGTGCACATGGTGTAGTATCAATAGGAATTGAAACATCAGAGGGAGCAAAAGGCATACCTGAATTTGTGTCAGTCGAACCTAGAATCTCAAATGTGATAGGAAGTGGTGTGGGTTCCTTATTGTGGAATCAACCTCTTTGTGCTTTTGTAGGTGTTGATGTGTAAAATACTGATAAGCAAGATGTAATTGAGTAAGCAAAGTAGGCAAAACAATTAGGTCAGACATTGGAGTAGCTAAAGGAGATGAATAGAAAGTGGTGTGGGTTGCTCATTTCTTCCCTCAAAACACTCCCCTAAGAAAGACTCCCTAAAAGAAAGGTGTGGACTCAAAGAAAGTGACAACCATGGTGACATACCAGCTCCCTAACACCAAATCATAACAACAATACCCCTTTTGATTTCTTGCATACCCAAGGAATACATACTTTTTTACTTTAGGGTCTAGCTTTGAGCTGTGAGGACCAAGAATATGGACAAAGCATACACATCCAAACTCATCAAGAGATCTCATCAAATATACCCAAGAATATCGTGAACATTCACAAACAAGAGAAAGTAGTGAGCCACCCATAGAAGGAGCAATGATATGGTCCTTGAACATTAGTATGAACAATATAAAAAACTGAAGAACATCTTTAATTACTTCACTTAAAAGAATGTCTACAATGTTTTCTAAGTTGACAACCTTCACACTCCAAACTAAACAACTTAACAAAGTCAAATAGCTTTGGAAACAAAAAATACAAAGAACTATAAGACAAATGCCCTAACCAATTATGCCAAAGCATAATCTGACCTATTGACTTTGACTCATATTATTGTTGCTGACATGATGACTTTGGTGACTAGGAAGCACTTTGAGAAGGTAGACTCCATTCACCTTACAACCACTCCCAATCGTCCTCTTTGACTTTAGATCCTACAAAACACAATGACTAAGAGAAAAAAATTATTGAACAATTCAAATTTTTTGTCAAACTATTAGTAGAAGTTCAGGACTGTTATCAGTCTTGAACCCTAATGGATTTCAGGTTCGAAAATAAGAAGAAAGGTAAAGAGAAAAGAGGAGGAAGATGAAGTAGAAGCAGTAGAACACAAGAGTTGAAAAGGAGGAGCAGAAGCTTGATGTTTTGCCGCCACCACTTTAATTAATATTTATAGGTTATGCTCATTACATGGAAAGGACAGATCTGCCCTTAGTCTTTACA